GGGGAAGGAGGAGAGTGCAAAAGTTGGCTTGAAACTCAACATTAAGAAAACTTAGATCATGGCATCTGGTCCTCTCACTTCCTGGCAAATAGATGGGGAAGAAATGGAGGTAGTGACAGATTTTATTTTCCTGGGCTTCAAGATCACCACAGATGGGGACTGCAGCCAAGAAATTAAAAGACACTTGCTCCTGGGGAGGAAAGCTATGGCAAATCTAGACAGCATACCAAAAAGCAGAGTCATCACCCTGCCAACAAAAGTGCATTTAGTCAAGGCTATGGTTTTCCCAGTTGCAATGTATGGCTGTGAAAGCTGGACCATAAGGAAGGCTGAGCGCCTAAGGATTGAGGCCTTTGAATTGTGGTGCCGGAGGAGGCTCCTGAGAGCCCCGCAAGGCAATCAAACTGGTCAGTCCTAGAGGAGATCAACCCTGACTGCTCTTTAGAAGGCCAGATACTGAAAAGGAAACTCAAATACTTTGGCCACCTAATGAGAAGGAAGGACTCCCTGGAGAAGAACCTAATGCTGGGAACAATAGATGGCAAAAGAAGAAGGGGACGGCAGAGGATGAGGTGGCTAGATGGAGTCACTGAAGCAGTTGGTGTGAGCTTAAGTGGACTCCGGGGGATGGCGGCACACAGGAAGTCCTGGAGGAATGTTGTCCATGGGGTCGCGATAGGTTGGACACGACTTCGCGACTAACATCAACAACAACACAATAGTTAATAAGTGCTGGTGAGCCCTGACAATGTATTTTGCCTCACTGTGAAGGATGAAAACACCATCTCCCCAACAGCTTACACAGAGCTAATATTCGCACCATTATATATACGTAATTTGAGTCTGAGAGAGTCAGATTTGTATTCCACTGTCCAATGCAACTGCAGCTACAAGACTTCTCACCTCTCAGAAAATAGATTAGCCCATTTCCAGAAATACGGCTGGCTTTTGGCCAGCCCCATTTTTGGTAAGACATACACCTAAGGCTTTTACCACATCAATATTGAGTGGTCCTTTCCAGGTTGGCAGCCTCAGACTGGCAACCTGCCAAATATGGGGCAAAGAACTTTCAAAGACCAGGTCATCCTAAGTATAGAAAGCTTCGGCACCTTTGTCACAGTAGCAATCTCCAGAGCAGCAGTCAGCCTTTTTGCCTGAGCTCTGGCTTTCTCCTCTTCCTCCCGGGACTCCCTCAGCTGCTGGCACAACATTCTCCCCTCCATTTGCAGCACCTTTAATTCTTCCATATGCTCTTCCTGTATTGTGTTCAAACGCTGTTCTAAGTTGGCTGTAAAACAGCAAGGGAGAAATCAAGGCATATCAACAGAAAGCAGAGCTTCCAAAACTTCTGTTAGCTTAGGCATGCTTTCTTCCTTTTTCTGAATTAAGAGATGGGGCACACATCAGTCCTCTTTCTAAAATGCAAAAGAATACACGTTTCTAAAATGCTGTAAATGCAAAAGAATACATGATATGCTATCCAAGGAGTCCATCCTGTGGTTCTGCATAAACTACTTTAAAATGTATGTCCTGGTGGATTCTCCCGCAATGCTGCTGTTGGATATCCAATGACACCTGATGTAGAGATATGGCAGAATTATTCCCCCTGACAAAGGCTGATTAGCAGTAGACAGAACCTGGAGCAGAGGATCAGCCAATCAGTCAGTTAATTAATTTCTTGTGGCACATGAGCAGCTCAGTGGTGGCATACCTTAGGGAAATAGCTACTAGAAACTACAAAAGACACATACAAGGGAGTGGGCATAAAAGAATCCAGAGCCAATCAATGCTGCCTTTCCATCCCTTCCCCCCCTGCAGTACCTGCATGCTTTGGATTCAGTTCTTTTTCTGTTTGCAACCTATACATGTTCAGTTTCAAGGTCTGCATGACACTTTCCAGCCGGCACATCCTATTCACAAGAGTGTCACAGGTTCGCCAGAGTGTGTCATGCCCTCCAATGAATGCCACTCTGGCACGGATAGGGGTGATGGACTGGTGATCTTCCAAGTTTTCTGAGGTTTTGGAAGGGAAGGGATCCATACTGAAAGAAATAACAGGTGCTTAATGCCCATTTGTTTGGAATCTACATGTGCGGTCCCCTTGATCCCAAACCCTACTTCTCATTCTGAATTGACAGCTAGTGTCCTTAAACGCAAGTATATCCTTTCTCCCATATGCAAACATCTGCCATTCATTTCTAGAAGGGAAAATGCTGAACTTGATTAAAATAGTTGCTCACCACACCTGGCAGTAGGCGACCTGCCCACACCAAACGAGAACCTCACAAAACTGCACATACACTTAGACACAGCAGTCCTGTTTGGAAGCTGCACTAGACTATGGTTTAGTGTGACATACACAAGGCTCAGACTTGTCAGCTCCCCCTGCACTCTACTCCAGCACAGCTGTGATAAGATCAGATGCTTCAACTTCAGTTTTGAACAATCTGCAGTTTCTTTTGTCAAAACCCAAACACACTGCAGGTGGTGTTAAATATGATTTATTGAAGCAAGCCAGCGCTAACATACATCATCATTTTTTGTTAATATTGTAGCTAGTAATGTAAACATCCTTTACAAAAGCAGCATCATTTTAGGCTTCCCTTCCACTCTGTATCATTCAGTCTTTGCCATAAAAAGAGATGTCATCTTCTGTCATTAGCTCATTCATGCCAATATTTTCACACATAAAACTTCAACATCTGACATTAGAAATTTGATTCAATCAAACTGGGCAATTCAATAACTTGGACACCGCAAAGAGAAGCCATATTAGAAACTCGGGGCAAAGAACAATGCAAATGTGGACTGAAGGCTGCAATCCTATTTCTGCAATTTCTAGGAATAAGCCTCAATCACAGTAGAATTCTATTTATTTAATTAATTGCATTTTCTACACTGCTTACCAGCCAAAGTTCTCTGGGCTGTTTACCAAAAAATAAAAACTATGAAATACAATGTGATTACTTCTGAGAAACCATGCACAACACCGATTATGCTGTAAAGCATCTATTTCAATTATACCTGTGTCCATTTACGCCCAGTGTCTGTAGCTCCCGCAACAGTGCACTTGTCTGCTCTTCAACAACTCTCATCCTCTGGTTCAGTATTACAAAGGTTTCAGGAGCTGTTGGATTGATACTCACTGGAGAAATAATTGGCCTTGCCATCACAGATTCAGCATCTGATAATTAGCTGCAAGTAAAATAAATCCATAGATGTTATATGAGGGACCTCAGAACCTCTTGATCAGCCAGGGCAGAAAGAAGCAGCACAGCCAAAGAAGCTGAGGGCTAATAAGATAACTATGCCTGTGACAGGATTCAGAGGGAAAACTATGCGGCAAGCCTATCCTGGCTTACATTCCAGCTTATTTTTCATGCCTTCCCCCAAAGAATCCTGAAACTTACAGTCTGATGACAACGCCAAGAATTCCCTGTTGAAGATCTCTACTTCCCCTATGTCAGAACTAAAGTTCCTAGACCTCACAAGAAGAATGTGTGACTATTAATCCAGTTTATATTAATCCAGAGGATGCTCACAGGAAGACTTTAAAGAAAATAATACCATATACTTGTAACATTCGGGCAAAACTAAAGTTGCTCCTGGAATAAGAGAGCTTAGCCATGGTGGTACAGGTACTAGTAACTTCAAGCCTGAACACTTGCAACTTATTTTGTGGTGGAGTTGCCCTTAACACTGATCTGGAAGCTGCTGTTAGTACAGAAGTGTTCTGTTTACTTTGCCTGCTGAAGACATTTTTATTTCAACACCTCCTCAGTTGACCAGACATGCTTTTTACTGGTTTTTTAAAAAGTTTGATATTGTGTTCTATTCATTTTATCTTATATTGCTCAGTGGTCTAGAAACTGTTTAGATATGGAACAGTATAAATGTTTAAATAATAATAATAAATAGTAGCAAATAATATAGTTTCCTCACATTTTTGTCTTGGCTCCATGCACACATATTTGGAATTAACAAGTAAATATGCTTACTTAAGTATATCAAGTGGTTGCATGAAAACTAGTACAAGACAGTATTCAGAACATTGTATTTTTTATTGTTCTGATATGTGCTTCTCAAAACAACAAAAAAAGAATGCCTGTCCATGTGAGCAAAAAGTCTGACTATCCCATTACACAGGATAATATGGTTCAACTGGCATATTGTTGCATGAGCATAAGTTCAGGCTTTCAATGTTGGGAACTGGCATGCAGTACAAATTCCACATATATCCAGGAAGTGCTTCCTCTTAAACTGCCCTTTAATGTTACATCAGTTTATGTTTCCTGCTACTCCCAGGGAAATGCTTTACTTGCATTTGCTGCTGTAAAAATATTTAGTTTAAAACATGAGCAGCAATGGACCTTTAAAATGAAATGATCAAACATTTTGGAGCCTTGGAACAACATGCATGCAGTGCAGCTAGAAGACTAGCCTTATTTAGGGGAAGGAAGGCACAAGAACACTCAGTTCCTTCTGCAGACATAAGGACTTCACTCCCCATTCCAGCAAAGCTCCATTTTAGAGCTTTGTGGGCACAAAAATATCAACCATGTCTACAATCCTGAACACACCTCCTGGGAGGAATCCGAATGCAACTCAGCAACCAGAGGGTTACAACCATCTTTCCTATGAAGAAAAGCTCAGAGGTTGGGCCTTTTTAGCTGTGGTGAGGGGGCAACCAAGAAGCATTGCAACATTTGGCAGGATTATTAACAACATGAAGCCAGGAGCAGACAGAACTTGAGATCTCTCAAAACACTAGAATAGTGGGCCATGTGACACAGCTGACTGGCAATAGATTTGGAGGGAAGGAAGCTTCTGGTTGAAGTTTAACTCAATAGCCGTGATCAGATGGGATACCTCCAGGTGATGAGAATGAAAAGACCTTTCTGCAGAGCTGCTGCCCGGCGAACTAGGCCACACTGGGCCGGATGGGCAAGCAATTTGCCCTCACAGAAGGCAGCTTGCTCCCCACGGAGGAATCGCGGTGTGAATGCCTGTCTGTCTCTGCGCCCCGCCCGGCCTGCACGCAACGCGTCGCTGCTCCTAAGCTTCTCGGGGCCATCTGGCTGCCCCCTGTGGCAGCTCCAGCCGGGTCAGCGCTTACAGTCTTCCTCTCTTGCCCGCATCGGTGACCACCCCCCTCCACGACTTCCTCCAGTGCCCCCTCTACGCAGAGGAGACCCATGGAAATGAACGGGATTGAAGGCAGACGAACGCTGGATACTCCCGCTTTCTCTACCCGTGCCCGCAAACCCGCAGGAAGCACTTCGGCCCGACTGTGCAGCCCACCTCTTCACCAGAAATGCGACGCGCCCACAGGAGCTCCGCTCTCCCAGCTGCTTCCAGGGCGCTACAGCAGCAGCGGGGTCCCGGCCCGGGGGCTACTCTGCCCCGTTTCCATGGAGCCCTATTGCAGCTTCAAACTGACCCGCTGCCTGAAAGGGTGCCATCCAACGCACGCGCGCCCCGGTTCTTGCTGCATTCTGGGATTCGTAGTCCAGTCCCTCCCTAGTTTACAAACTAAGGCGTGGCTCCCTCTGGGGGAAGCCTCGGAAAAGTCAACGCATCCGCAAGGAAAAACTTTCTCGTGGATCGAAAAGCATGCCGGGATGTGTAGTATCCGCATCTTTTGTTGCCCCTATTACTGGTGCTGAGTGTTCGAAGAAGCTAGAACAGGAGATTGAAGTTAGTTCCAGCCATGCTTTTCTGGTTAAATGAGCAATTTTGTGAATGTTTAGGCAGAAAGAAGGCCCGTAATAGTTCTAGGGATATTTTCTGTGTGACCGAAAGAGGTTTTCTGTCACTTTAATTTGGCTCAACTTAACATTTAACATTTGACCTAAATGCAATTACTACAGATGCAAGATTGCAAGATTCTAGTCCTTACAGTTAAAATGCAGTTATATCTCTAGACTTTGAAGGGAGAAGACTATGGCTTGTTTCATATGCTATAGACTCGATAATGCATTACAACAAACATATTTATGTTGTGTCTCTTTCTCAGTACTGCATTGCATGGAAAGCAGGTTTTTGCCTGTCATGCAACATTAAATTAAACATTAAACAGTACAGCAGCACATCAAAAGAAAAACAAGCAGCAACACTATATAAAATATGAAGTGGTGCAGGATTCTAAGAGATACTGACTTTACATTACAGATGCACTGTTTAAAATACAGGACTGAATTTAGATAGTGGATTCTTGAACCATTTCAACAGTTACAAGAGTAAAAAAGCATGTTGATGAGAAAAAACCCAGAGAGTTTGCTGGGGGTGTACAATCAAAACAACCCTTATAGTTTATTCCAGCATACAAGAAATACATGCAGCATGTAGGTGGTCCCAAAGGGAGTACAAAGATGGAGTCTGTACAAATTTTTATAACCTGTCAGTTACATACACAGTTTGGGGAGGATGGGGGATCACCTACACAGTATGCTAGAGGCACATGAGAATTAAAAAAGCAGGGTTGAATGGATTAAGACAACAGAAAGAGAAGAACTGTCAGGAAAAGCAGCATTTGTAAAGTGTGCATGGGAAGCAAGACTTGCAACATGGATTCCTGATAGATCCTGGAGTCACACTATAAGTCTAAAGCTGTTCTTACAATGTTGGGCTTTTAGCAGCCATATTATGGCAAAGCTTTCGCTCATCTTGTCCTGACAACAACATGTATCTCATTTGTTACACAATGCTTTGTTTGAAAAGGTCAATGGCCTTGTGACCTGGCTGTTCAGATGAGTTAAAACTGCTCATATGCATGTTTATTTAGAAATCTTACTGAACTCTTATCAGGCCTACTTGCAAGTTGCAAGCTGAGAAATAACTTAATAGTAAATAAATAAATAGAGTAGTAAATAACTTAGCTCCTTGCTTGCCTTGATGTTGATTGACAGTGTCAGAATCCCGGAATCTCAATTTGAGAAGAGGGAATAAAACTCGGGTTCATGGGAAAGATCAAGCGTCCAGACCATCTGAGGCTTTATTGTATTTCCCAGGTTCCCCGCAGGTCCATACTCACGATAATGCATTACCGGGCAGGCAGAGTGACTCTGCTGCAAAGCTTCAACACCATTACAGGGCATTTATAGGTACACAGGTACAGGGCAATTGCTGACAGAATGCAGAGATTACAATAAGATTCTGAGGTCATCACATACAGAACAGATAAAGAAATGTCAGTCAATCACACAGTAACAATGAGATCACAATATTTCTAATTGCCTGTATTGACACTTTAGTTCAGTAGCTTGAACCCATCTCCAGGTCTGCTTGGACATGTAAATTCAAGCTACTGAAACTATGCATGAACTCAAGACTCTTATCTACGCTAACATTCTGAATTGGCCAGGGCACATGGAGCCTCTGGGCTATCAAAAGATACTTCCTTGTAAACTGAATTCCAACAATGACTATTTACAATGTATATTTGGACTGGATGGCCTGTCTACTGTAGCCCACAGCTAAAGGTGAGAGAAAGGAGCGGGGGGGGGGGGAATGCCATTTTAAACAGTGACAGCTTGGTTTTGAAAAGGAAGACAGGATTTGATCCCATAATGCAAAAAAGCACACAGAAGTAATGCTTTTCAGACAGGATTTATCCAAATTTTCCCAACAACAACAAGCACAGAGCCCCTCTTGTACCCAAACAATATGTAAGATATAACAGACTGAATCATCTGTTATCACAGAAGGGAGTGATTTACTACATCCTGAATCTTCTAAAGAATGTGTGGCTTTGCACCACATACACATGATCTACTTTCTCACCAAGCCTAGATTATCAGATAAATATTCCAGGCCTGAATATTTCCTACTTTTACATAAACCTTCCCCTTCCAGGAATACAATCAGTGACTGTATTTGTGGATGGAATTGAGGTACCTATTCCAGCCTTCATGAATGTAACATGCTTGAGAAATGTGAGATGAAAATTATTTTAATGTGCAACTTTCCATATGTTCTCTAGATGGCAGGAGACAGCAATCAGAATTGGAAGGAGAAGTCACTGTTTTGCTATACTTTGTTAATACGTATCAATGACGAGTATGATATTTCAAGAATGTAATGGGAGGTCATAACATGTTTTAAATGATATTTAGTCATGAGAAAGTTCATTCTCCTAAAAATGCAAGCTGACAGTGTAATAAAGGGCTGGTCCACACAAATAAAAATGTAGGCGCATTGTACATATCAAGGGGTGTGGTCCTATGACTGTAAATTTGTTTAATCTATACAGTGACCTCTGCCTAATACTAAGGAATACAGGAACAAAGGAAATGCATGCACAATAAATTTTGAGAGCAGTATTAAAATTAAATAACTACAACATATGACATGTTCAGAGTCCAACAGAGCAGGGCAGTCATTACTGTGCACCAAAGCAAAAATATTATTTTTATATTTCTAAACTGCCCATAGCCAAACCTCTTTGGGCAATTTACAACATTTTAAGACACCCATCCAGGTCTCAACTAGTCCTGACCCTGCTTGTCTTCTAAGATTAGGCAGAATCAGGCACTTCAGGCTTTGAGGAAAGATCCGATCTTAACTCTGTCAGGAGTGGAGTTCATGAACCACATGAAAAGTGACTTTTTAACATACCCTGTTAGACAATTTGACATGTTACTTGTGTTTCCATTCATGGCAAAACACAGTATCAACTTTGGGTGTTATGGCTGCTATTGCTATTCGACGGTAGGCATAGCCTGGCCAGGGTGATGGCGAATTGGTAACCTGTGAACTGGAATACTGTAGCGCACAGGTCCTGGAGGAACTGGGTGCTGATTGCTCAGTGGAGCTTCCTAACATGCACAAAGTGCCTGTGCTGAAGGTTCTGTATTACCTGCCAAGCCATGTTCAAGATGTGAAGGTTTCTTTGTTAAGATCCTAAATAGCTCAGGGGCTGGCTAACAAAACAACCACCTTCGTCTGAATAGGTCACCTCAGTCTTGGGTTCTGAGGAGCAGGCCTTGTTGCCAGAGCCACGGCTTCCTGATGCTTACTTGGTCACGGTTTGGAGGACAGCCTTCTCCTCAGTGGCGACCCTTAGAATGATCTCCCCATGAAAATCAGGCAGGTTCTTCATGTGGATGCTTCTGCTGGCGACGGAAGACTCACTGCTTTGCCCTGGCATTTCCCTGATTATTAGCATTGCCAGCTATCTCTGGTTATTTCAATTAAATGTTGTTTTTATCATTGCTTTATTGTTTTATCAATTTATGTTGTGTTTATTTTTGTAATCCGCTTTGGGATTTTGTTAATTGAGAAGTGATACTAAAATTTTTGAAATGAAATAAAAATAAAACTTTATTCCCTACATGTTATACAAAATTTTCACCAACTGGTCTGAATCTTTTCCACAGTGCTTTCACAGATCAATATACTGTAGATCTCTTCCAGTTATTTTGAATCCTTTGCCATCCAAACTAGGCAAAATGTATGAAAATTATAACCTCACATTCTTACCTGACCTGTAAAAATTCAATTTTAGGATAGTTTCCTAGTCTTCTCCTCTATGCATACGCACACAATTGCAAGAAATGTTGTGGATAACTTTTCATCCAAAGATTTGTTATCACTAATTGAGAAACAGACAATGCGGCAATTATGTAGTCCCTGCAGGCTTGCCATGAAACTAATTCTTTAAACACTTCTTTCCAATTTGCGTGATGGACTATAATTAATTTTTCATTTTTCATCTGTGGATTGGCAGACTTGTGTCACTAGAGAAGTAATTGTGAAGGGGGGAAAGCCTATGTATTTATACTTAGAACATAGCCTGTCAACCTATTAAGGCAGTTATGCAGTGTACACTTACCTGGGAGCCAGCCCCATGCAACAGCCTTGGGTGTGAGCATGCATAGGATTGTGTTGCACACCGGAAAAGAATCAAAGTTGGGCATGCAAGATGAAACCTCCGAATTAGCATCTATAACCTCTAGGTCTGTCAGGCAGAAATATTTCCTCAAGTTTCAACTACGATATTTTGAGCCTGGCCTGCTAAACATCTCTTAACAAAGTTTTAGTTTCATTCTGTACCATTGAGGTAGATGAGAAAACAATGGGTTTTTACATTCCACTTAAGATAGACATCCCTAGCCATTTCCCTCTTTCCCAGGCTTTGCATAATCTAATAACCAAACTGCTGGCTTCGGATTAGTTATCTGGTGCAAACATTTGAAACAACATGGATTTATTTGGGATACATCTGAACTGAATGTTTGGGGAGGAATCAGGGAGCCATGCAATACGGACAAGCTGAAAAGGAATAAAATGTGTGGGCTATAAAGAGTCTGTATGGATTAAAGTTATGACACCCTTTACAGCAATGCTTTAATAGAGTTTGAAGTAGCAGTAGAAGCACATATGGCAGAACATACTATTTGTGTTCGTATCTATGGTATTGATAGATGGGAATTATCCCCATCCCTCCTGCTCTGGATCCAATGGTAA